TCCACTACCTCTCTGGGCAACCCGTTCCAGTGCCTCACCACACTCATTGTAAAAAATTTCTTCTTATATCCAGTCTAAATCTACCCTCTTTTAGTTTAAAACCATTAATCTTTGTCCTGTCACAACAGGCCTTGCTAAAAAGATTGTCTCCATCTTTCCTATAGGCCCCCTTTAAGTACTGAAAGTCCGCAATAAGGTCTCCCTGCAGCCTTCTCTTCTCCAGGCTGATAACTTCCTGAGAAGTTGGAAGGATATGCCAGTGATGTGTTTCTACATACTCACACTGCTCTTATGCCTTAGCTAATGGCTGAAGATACAGGACTAGATGGACATTTGCTGTGACTCAGAAAAGCTGTTCTTTTCTTACACTGTTACATGACACTGACGTGTGCATCTCCACTTTTTCCCTCTGGTTATTTCATCAACTAAATCAAGGTTTCAGATGACATGGTCTCTTGAAACTTCTGATTCATGAGTACATTATTTAAATAATTCAATATTGGTGACATGAGATGAGATGAGTTGTTTTATGGATCAATAGAAGGGTGACCTTAATGTTTATCATAACAAAATAGAAATGAATTGTCATTTCACTTGTTCATCTTGACCATTCTTCTAGAATATACTCTATTGTTTTACTACCATAATTCTTCATCAACCCGTGTTCTCCTTTTAAAAATAATCCTGCTAAAGAAAAAAGATGTAAGGTTTCTTTCGCCAGGCTGGCAAATTAAGTGAAATAGGCTGTACTAAATCCCACTGTCTGTCATTGATTAAGATATTAACTGGTCCCGGTACAGACCCCTGAGGGACTCCACTTGTCACCGGTCTCCATGTGGACATTGAGCCGTTGACCGCTACCCTCTGGATGTGACCATCCAACCAATTCCTTACCCACCGAACAGTCCATCCATCAAATCCGTATCTCCCCAATTTAGAGAGAAGGATGTTGTGTGTCGAAGGCTTTACAGAAGTCCAGATAGATGATTGTTTATTATATTGTTATTATTATCATTACTATTTTACTTTATTTCAATTATTAAACTGTTCTTTTCTCAACCCAGGAGTGTTTCTCACTCTTACTCTTCTCCCCTATCCCACTGGGGCAGGGGGAGTGAGCGAGCAGCTGCCTGGTGCTTAGTTGCTGGCTAGGGTTAAACTACAACAACATTCTTGAAAAACTCCCAGCAGCACTTACTAGCTCCTTTATCCTCCATGGAAGCTTCCCGCAGAATCCCTACCAGTTGAGCTTTGAGTGAGTTGAAGTTTGCTCTTCTAAAATCTAAAACCTTTGTATTAGTACTAACCTTCAGCATGCTCAGCAGGATCCCAAACTCCACAATATTGTGATCACTGCAGCCAAGGCTATCACTAACTGAGATATCACAAAGCAGGTTTTCTTGGTTTGTGAGTAGCAAGTCCAGCAGTGCCTCATTCCTGGTTGGCACATCTAACATTTTTATGAGGAAACAGTCTTCTATGCATTCCACGACTTGATGGGTGACATGAGAGCTGCTGTATTGTTCTTCCAACAAATGTCTGGGTAGTTGAAGTCACACGTAAGAACCAGGTTCTGTTGACCTGAAGCTTGCTTAAGTGACCCAAATACTGCTTCGTTGGCCTTCTCGTCTTGGTTCGGAGGTTAGTAGCAGATGCCTACTGTCTCCCCTTTGGAGATGACCCCTCTGATCTTGACCCAGAGGCATTCGGTAAGGCTTCCACAATCATTGTAGTTGACTTCTATGCATTCAAGGTTCTCCTTGACATAGAGTGAAACTACTCCTCCTCTTCTTCCTTGCACGTCTTTATGAAACAACCTATAGCCATCCATCATGATCCTGCAGTCATGGGAGTTGTCCCACCATGCTTCAGTTATTCCTATGATATCATAACTTTCAAATCTTGTTTACCATCTGCAATATTAGTATTTTCAGCCTGCCAGTGAGCTCTTGAAAATGATGCATCTTACCAAATACCAGAAACAAAATCTAGTTATTTCCCTCTCTCTGCGTGTGTAAAAAATCATAAAATACAAAGTTAATTTCATTATTTGCTTGCAGCAGTATCCCTCACTTTAGTCATTCCATTTAGAGCACAAGTCTGCTGAGGAGTGGCTGAGGGAACTGGGGTTGTTTAGCCTGGAGAAGAGGAGGCTGAGGGGAGACATTATCACTCTCTCCAACTACCTGAAAGGAGATTGTAGTGAGGTGGGTGTTGGGCTCTTCTCCCAAGTAACAAGCAATAGCACAAGAGGCAAAGGCCTCAAGTTGCTCCAGGGGATGTTTAGATTGGATATTAGGAAAAATTTCTTCACTGAAAGGGTTGTCAAGCATTGGGAGAGGCTGCCCAGGGAAGTGTTTGAGTCCCCATCCCTGGAGGTATTTAAAGACGTGTAGATGTGGTGCTTAGGGACATAGTTTAGTGGTGGACTTGACAGTGTTACGTTAATGGTTGGACTTGATGGTCTTAAAGCTCTTTTCCAACCTAAACGATTCTGTGATTACCTGTTACATTGAGGTGATTAGCAGCTATTTTTTCCACGATACCCAAACCCTCTCTGTTACAAGCTGGGTTTTTTTTTATTGTATTGGTGCAGCTGTCATTCTTTCGTAAAATTCAGTTAACCTCTTTGCTTTGACAGTGATACTAAGCAGTGTCTTTCTAAAAGGGTCGCAGCTCAAACTTTTACAGCTTTTAGTGTACACTGAAGTACAGCTAATAAAATAAACAAAAATCCCTCAAAAACCCAAAAACCTACTAGAATGCATCTCAGATGTATAGTCTGTCAGTTTGAAGGCTGGTTCATTGTGCAGATTTCTTTATCTAGCTCCTATGAATATAAATTTTGTTATTGCTTTTGTAAGAAGAGCTGTGAGACGTATACTTTTATTAGACAAGTCTTTTGACAGATCATTTGAACTGAACCTTATCAACAAGGTTTGGGTAGAGTTTCCTTCTGCAGAAAATCAGAAGTGTTCTCAATTAGGGAAGATGAACAGATTTTATTTTTTAATACAAATTGTGGGGCAATGAAAGTTTAATCAGACCAATTAATGTGATTTTCATTTTAAGTGACCTTTTGAAATGTGAAATGAAACTTAAATGAAGTGACTTTTTTTTTTTACCTTCTCTTTAGTGTTCTTGAAGCTGAAAAGACATTAGTACTTGCAGAAAAAGGTGGTCAAGATGATGAGGATAATGAGGTAGAACTATTAGTTGCAGGAAAGAAATTTCGTATCCTTGCAACCATGAACCCAGGAGGTGACTTTGGGAAAAAGGAGGTAAATGTCAAAGCAACTGCAAGTCCAACATGCATCTTCTGGTCTTGTTAGCTCGTAATGTGATTGGAAGTCCAATGCAAAAATGCATCATGCCAGTTCTGGCATCCAGTGCTTCCTAGTAGGCATCTGCTTCATTGCTCTAAAGGAGGATTTTGTTTTCCTCCTGTTTTCCATCACTTGTGTGCTATTATTTTGACAATATAGGTCAATACTCGGCAGAATGTCAAAGAAAACTTCAGGCCTCTAAATACTCTAGGTAGGCTTGGTATGTAGAATACTTCAAGTACAGGAAATGTGGCTTGTGAAGCAAGTAAATCCAGCTCTAACATGAGTGTGGAGTAGTGTGAAGTCACGTAATAGATTGTTCTCCCTAACATTGTTCAGAAAGTTAAAGGTCATGTTGTCGTTCTCAGTGAATTTGAACATCCCAAAAGACCATTCTCATTAAATTAAAAAAAAATCTGTTTCTGATGTTTGGCTTTAAGTAATTTAAGATTTGTTTAAAAACAAACAAAAATAAACAAACAAAAACCCCAAACCAAACAACTTTTAAGCAGTGTTGGGAGCTAGGACTGAAAAAAAAGAGCTATAAGCTCTTTTACCCAAAAGAAGATGGGTACTCCATTTAAAGAGGTTTCTACAGTACAGAACAACTCATTGTAAAGCCATGTGTTTAAAGGGGATTTACTTCTGCATTGCATTAGTGCTAATGATTTTTGCTTGACTAATTCAGGCAGAGGAAGAGAGGAATTACAGAAACGATTGGTAGTTTGCTGCTGTAAGCAAAGGGAGATTACATAGCCAGTTTGATACATGATGTCCTAGAATGAAATGGAGCTTTGGTGGTTGCAAACCAGTTCAATTTATTCCCATATTCTTTTGAACTTTCTCATCTATCAGCCATTTCCTGCATTGATGCCACTACTAGAAATGTTAAAATCCACATTCTCTCAAAGATTTTGTTACGAAGTGGCCCTGTCAAAATTAGAAGGAAAGGTCTGTTTGGTCACTTTATTTAGTGTTTGCAAGTACTGTGGCTACAAGGCTATTGGTTAACTGCAACCTTAAGTAATATGTTGTAATGGAAATTGAATTGCTATGTCATTCTGCTTTTTTGCAGCTTTCTCCTGCATTGCGCAACAGGTTTACAGAAATATGGTGTCCACAAAGCAATGGCCGTGATGATTTGATACAGATTGTAAAACACAATCTTCATCCAGGATTGTCTCTGGGTGGAATAAACCATCACAGTGGGTATTTCTCTGTGTATTAGTATTCAAACATTCTGAAGAAAACAATTAGTTTGGAGGCTGGTACACTTTCCTCAGAATTTACACCACTGTGTCCATTTTTCTTGCAAGTGTATCTCTTCTGAGGACAGTTATGAAATATGTTGGACTTTGTTCTTCCCTCTTTGTGTATGGCTAGCCAGAAGTAATATCAAGGCTGTATTTACTTCACCATCCAGGTAGCTGAATTATCCCCAGCCCTTCAGTGCCCAGTCTTAGTTTCAGTATCAGGCATTGTAAGGATTGGCACTTCTTTTTCTGCCAGCAGCTTCACTGTTAGTATTAGTCACTTGATTCTGTCTTGTTACTTGAATTTAAAAGGATCTGTAATGACAGCACAGGCATGGGCTTACTCTTCATCAGTAATGACAGCACAGGCATGGGCTTACTCTTCAGTTACCCTGCTGGTTAGGACATGAAGTACCCATGCACGTTGCTCATGCATTACAGCTGTACCTACTTTAGTGATACTTACTGTACAACAATGTAGTAGATGTGACTAATAAAATTATTTGATAATTGCATCGATTTTTTTTTTTTTTTTTTTTTTTTACTCTCTTTTCAGGTGCAGACATAGCAGAGCTCATGATGGACTTTGTTGAATGGCTGACTAATCAAGAGTTTGGTCGCCAGTGTATTCTCAGTGTGCGAGATGTCTTGTCATGGGTTAATTTTATGAATGTCATGGTAGAGGATGAAAAGTCGAATTCTGCCAAGGAATATAGCCTTCTTTACATTTCTCCAATGATGTCTTTTATCCATGCTGCATGTTTGGTATACATTGATGGAATAGGATCAGGTAAGTCTTCAGTGCTCATTGGTAGCAGAAAATATGAGGTATTAATAATATTTGTATTAATATTTTTCAGTAGAATACAAACAAAATGCTTTGGGGTGGCACAGAACTCTTCTGGTGTTGTCCCACATAGGGCTTGTTTACCCGGTGTGCAATAAGCCAATCTTCACACACTGAGACCAAACATTGTTTTATTCTCACAGTTGCGCAGTTTGGGTGCTAGGTGGTAATTCCACAAAGCTAGCACACCTACCAAAGTTTTCTCTACCTTTTATATGTTACAATTAACACACCACACCTATCCACTACATAATCATTAAATTAGCTAAGCATACTTTTATCTTACTGGTTCATATCTTCTTTGCTTAAATTTAAAGGTACAATATGATTTTACCTTACTACGCATGCTCAAGGAGAGTGGGGGGTGGTAGTCTCTCTAGTTTTTAATTGAGTTGATGGTCACAGTCTCCCCCTGCCAAAATTACCTTTCCCCTACTTTCCTTCTTGGCAGATCCTTAGTAACTCTTTATGGTTTAGTAGTCAAGACAATAATGCATCACCTTGTGTCCTGTTCCTGGACAATTTGTCATTAGCAATCTATTAACAAAACAAAAGCATAGTTAGGGTAGGGTTTTACAATGGACATTCTATAGCAGCATCAGCTTTGGATAACACTGGGGGAAGTTTTCACTTCCATTTAACAATATCCTGTAATTGACATGCCTTTTTTGTGTGTCAGTAGCAAGTTCAAATAATACAGCAAGCTTAAGTAAATTAGGGATAGTAATAATAATATTACAAAGGCTAGCACACAAATTAAGAAAGCCTATGTTTTTTATTGAGTCTTCTGAGATGATATGGTACTGAATTACATGACCACATATTGTTCTCTCTCTCCCACCCCACATGTCAGCATCTGTGCATGCTAGCCTGTATCATCTGTATAGTTCAGAATGCATCTTTGCATGTTTGTCCACTGGCTCAGCTGATAAATAGGAGATATGGGAGTGGGGAAAAAGTGAAAAGCCACAAGAAATGCAGGGGAAGAAGGCCTGGCAGTACTATGGCAAGGGATCAGGATGATAGTGATGGTAGAAGAAAGGGGTTTGGGAATAAGGTGTCCTTAATTCTGTTGCTTGCAGAACAGTTTGTCCATGCTAAATGGTACTGGAAGCACTGGCAAGCAAAAACACTAACATGAAATATAAACCTGAAACAGAATACTGCACAACAATAGCATCTGTGAAGGAATTGAGTTTCTTGGTCACAAGATGAACATGCCTAGTTATGTTTGTGAAGCACGCTTAACTTTTCTAATTACAGGTACAACATCCTGCTCAGCTGATACGGCTTTATTAGCTCGTGAGAAATGCCTGACATTCTTATGTGAGAAAATGAGTCCATTCCTTGAGCTGACTGATTATCAGAAGAATGAACTAAAGATTTATGACAGAACAAAGGAGAAGGAGTTTGTGTGGCTGGACAACTTTATGGGAATCCACCCCTTTTTTATTCCAAGAGGCAAGAGACTTTGTGGGAGTGGATGGGCATTTATTCTGTGGCTTTTATTCCCAATTCTGTTCTGTTATTCACTAAATCTAAGTAGGATACCTGAACCATTACAGAACAATATGGTTTGTTCTCAAGCTTTAGAAAAATGCCTTTTCTGCCTCCAAGTGTGTTGATTGCAACTCTATCACATTTATTAAGAAGATAAATCTGTTAATTGCTCTCTTTGAGTTTTTAAAATTACTGGTTAATGGCCTAATTTTAGTATACTTATTTGGTGTAACAAAGCTTGTTTGAGTTGTAATTTTCTGTCACTTTGCATGGTCAGAATGTCTGCTAACTTCCACTAACTAAAGCTACAGCTCATCCTGGCCCTTGTGTAAAGCATGGGAAGCAGGGGTCCTGGGTACAGTGCTAAACAGAATGAAGACTAATGCCCTGCCTTGCTCTAGCCTCTCAAAGATGTGCTGCAATTCTTGCAGAAGTATTTAGTCCCTGCATTTCAGTTCCTCATGTGACAAATTAATGCAAACAGGACTACCAAAATACTGCTTTCTACCCTTAAAGTACAGTGACGGGACTAAAAAGTGATGACTCTGAGCTTTCTAGTTCAGCTGGTTAGTTTTTAATACATGGAACTGTGTGTTCCTAAAGCTATATTAATCATTCATCTTTAAACATTTTGACATTCATGGATTGTGTTAGTCATGCATAAAATTGTACAAGGTAATGCTTTTTTGTAAATTGCTTAGTTTCCCTCTGCTAATTAGATCACAAAAGGAAGGATCTCCTTCATACTAAACAGGTATCAAGATGTGTAAGATAAATTGGTGATTAATATCTTGTATACCTGAGCAATACTGTATTACAGAATTTGGGGAGTGATGTCCTAGTGAACTATACTGGCTGGAATTTGGCAGGCAGAGCTCTGTACTCTTTCCTCGCTGTATGTCATAATAACAGTAAAGAAAATATGTGCCTAGCAGTGCAATTTAATTAAAGCACTCTTCCTTCACAGAACTGGCAGTGTATGGAACAGATTAACATGTTGTTCTATAACATGACCAAATTATATCCTTCAGTGCCAAATCTTCAAAAGCTGCTTTTGAGTTTTAGATCCACATGTCAGAAGCAAGGACAGATTTATGATTTTTCAGTGATGGGTCATGAACCAGGATGTGTCAAAGTTTCATGGCAAATTACATCATATATTCATGTGCTTTTTGCAAAATTCAACATAAATATGCAGAGATGGGCTGAGACACAGCTGTGGGTCAAACGGAAAGTATATGTGCCTGATCTCTGAGAATCAGAGAGCTTGATTTCCATTGCTTGCTGTAATGAGATCAGCAATTAACAGAATGATCATGTTCAGAAGCAGTCAGCAACTCCAGCATAAACGTTTTGGTTTAATTGTTTTCCGGTTTGCCTTTCCTTTGTTTTAGGCCCTGTTCTCCAGAGGAACAGCATTACAGATTATGCTCTAAATGCCGGGACTACAGCAGTGAATGCACAAAGACTGTTAAGAGCCCTACAGCTTAACAAACCTATTTTGTTGGAGGGGTCACCAGGAGTGGGCAAGACCAGTCTAGTTGCTGCCCTAGCAAAAGCCTCGGGAAACTGTCTTGTTCGAATCAACCTTTCTGAGCAAACGGTAGCATAAAATATTATCTTTGTAACTTAGTGTTTATGGCGGGTGGGGGGAGGTTTTGTTTAACTTAAAAAGCGTAGTTCTTTTAACTTTCGCACAGAGTCTGAAATGTCAATTTTTCCTTTTTGGTCTCAAGATAAAAACAAACGGGAAGGGGGAACCAGAAAGAGCAGTGATTTTCTGTGAGCGATGCCAATTCCCAGATTTTTCTGTTCTTTTCAAGTGAAGACGTGTATCTTTGTCTACTGTGTTTTTCTTGGCTTCTGCAAAGTTACTTGAAACGAGTTTTAAGGCTTTTTAGCTCCCCTGTTCCAGTTTAATTTTTTGTAGTTTAATATAGTAGGTGGTCACTGAAGTCCTATCATGGAAAAGCTTTTAGCGCCTTGTAATTACTGAAATTTTTTTAATACCTACATTTTAGCCTTGTTTTGAAGGGGAGGGAGAAAATGTGAAGTAAAGTTAACAAAGGCTGTTTATGAACTTTTGTGGAGTTTTATAATTCCGCCCCCCCCCTTTTCTTCTCCCACAGGATGTGACAGACTTGTTTGGGACAGACTTGCCTGTTGAAGGTGGAAAGGGAGGAGAATTTGCCTGGCGTGATGGACCACTACTAGCAGCATTAAAGGCTGGACACTGGATTGTATTAGATGAGGTAAATTCAAGTTTGGGGCACAAATAAAGTGGAATGTTCTGGAAGAGCAAAGGTGATGATTTGGCATGTAGGATAAATACCTTTGAGGGTTGATGACTGAAATAAATTTTGCTTACTTTTAGTTATGTGTATCTGGTGCCACATTGAAAGTGATTGTTCCACTGAAGAGAAAATTTATCTCCGTCTTCTAAGTCCCTCTGCCCATTGGCCCTCCATAGATGGAGTGTAAAAGACCAGCTTTGGCTAGACTTCTTTTAGACAAGGGAACAAGGATTGAATCCCAGCTTAAATTACTGCAGAAAAACAAGGATAGATTTGATTTACATTTGAAGGTTTTTGGGAAGAATGTCAACGGAAGTTTTGGTACATATGCTCTTATATGGATATAATTTCACTGAAATGAAGGTGTTTTGCTGGGACTAATACATTGTGTTGGGTACTGACTTAATTGAGATGAAGAAGAGTTCCATTTTGCCAGTATAAGCTATCCTGCCACCACAGGTTTGTTCATATACCATGTAGCAAGTGCTGTCAAGCGCATGCATGCACAGAGCTTACTTCTTGGCAATGTTCATTCTAATTATTGCAGAGTGCAAAATCTTAAATTCTTTAGCTGTTTTTATACCTTCTTATTGTGAAGAATACCACTTTAAACAACCATGGTATTTAAATAACCCAGACTGCCTTCATTTAAAAAACAAGCAAACAAACAAAACTCTGAATGTTACAAATGTGTGAACGTAAGTTCAGAAGAAACATCTTGAACATACAGATTTTACAATGGAGAGTTATTTTGTTGTCATGGTGAAACTACAGTACAAATAACAAATGCACATAAGGAAAAGTGTTAGTTACAGTTTTGTTGCTCCAGTGTAATAACAGTCTAGCTGGAGGTAATAACATATGACAGTGCTAGAACAGCAAGGAAATCGAATTTTACCTTCTGTGTATCCCAGACTGTTAAACTACAGATTATGCAAAAGTGTTTTGTGGAGCATTAATATTGTATCCTTATTTCTTTCCTCAGCTGAATCTAGCTTCTCAGTCTGTATTAGAAGGGCTAAACGCATGCTTTGACCACAGAGCAGAGATTTATGTTCCAGAATTGGGAATGAATTTTCAAGTACAGCACAAGAAGACTAAGATTTTTGGATGCCAGAATCCGTACAGACAAGGAGGTGGAAGAAAGGGTCTGCCCAAGTCCTTTCTTAATAGATTTACACAGGCAAGCTTATTTGTTTGGTTTAAACTGTGTCATGATCCTGTCTTGTAGTTTTCTGACTATATCAACACTCAGTATGCTCTTGATTCTACAGGTGTATGTTGATCCACTGTCCGCAGAAGATATGGAGTTTATTGGGAATACGCTGTTTCCTGCTATTGATAAATGTATTATTGCCAAAATGGTTGCTTTCAATAACAAGGTAAATATGTATTTTAATCTATTTGGTAGGCAGAATGCAGTAAGATTAAAAAAATTAAGTCTAATGTTACATTTCCAAGCATTTTTATAGAGAAGTGCATGGGTAAAAAAGCAGAATGGAAGTATATGCAGAAGAATGTAAACACCACTAAAACCCACCTGAGTTTTTGTACCACTACAATCAGATACTTGGTTGATAACTGAAGAAGCATTATTTTTCACAGAAGATAAGAAAAAAAAATATAGAAAAGGCTTTGTTCTACAAAAGGTGGAAACAGTTATAGTTTGGTAGCTTGGTGAAGTGAGTTGTTTGCCACAATAACACATTATTCTTGAAGCACAAGCAAAATGAGCTGTATCTTAACAAGAACTGAAATGTGTATTTCTGTTTGTAGTCTGAATTTTTAATCTGCTCTTTATTATTGGATGTTGTTAGTGAAAGCAGCATCTGACCTTTACAGAAGCAGAAGCTTATAAGGATATGTGGCATTCTTCTGGAACACTGAGAGACCAATGAAAGAAAAATATTTCCTGATAGGATTTGTCTATGGCAAAGGATTCAGAGATGCTTGAATCTAAAATTTTGCTAATATAAAAGGTTTTCAACAAGCATTAATTGCAAGGCATCAACTTAGTAGCTATTTTGTGGCTTAGATGCTGCCATTTTGCACAAAGTGCCGGATATAAAATTCACAGTAAGAATTTTATTTATGGTCATGAATCTGAAATTTTGCTTCATCTTAATGTCATGAAACAAAAAAAGTGCAGTAATATTAAAGTAGTATTCTGTGGCCTTATGTTAAATCTTTTGTGGCAGCATCTTACTGAATACTCATTTATAGAGTGCAAAAGTAAAAAGGAAAATTGAGCTGTTAGAGAATTAGTAGAGGAGAGACAAACTAAATCAAGCTTTAGTTCCTAACGTCTTCAGAAAAGTGAATACAGGTTGCTCTTTCTATTGTCCTCTGTCTTGTAAGCAGTGCCAAAGGCAGAAGTTCAGTTGAAGTTTTTAAAAAATATTTGAAGACCAGCACATGGGTGGAATAAAAGATTTTCTTTTTTTTTTTTTTTTTTTTTTTATTTGCTATTTTTTAAAAAATTTTTTTTTTTTTTTTTTTTTAATTGCTACTTTTTCCAGATTGACAAAGAAGTAATGGCTGAAAAAAGGTGGGGACAGAAAGGAGGACCTTGGGAGTTCAACTTACGTGATCTTTTCCGCTGGTGCCAGCTTATGCTTGTTGACCAGTCACCAGGATGTTATGATCCAGGCCAGCATGTATTTTTGGTATACGGAGAAAGAATGAGAACCAGGGAAGACAAAGAAAGGGTGAGCCATGTGTTCTCCTTCCTTGCTCTTCAGATTGTCAGGAAGTAGGTCTAGAAATCCAAGTGCAAATTTTAAGATGCCTTGCAATTCATTCACAGACATTACCTCTTGCAAAAGAAAAACAGGTTTGTTTTGGGGTTTTGAGGTTTAACATATGTACCTGCTCCTCTTGTCATTTAAAATATCAATTTAATTACCTCCTAGTATAAAAGCAGAAAGCTGGTGTAAATGAAGGCAAGTAGAATAACAAAGGACTTTAAACAATGCAAAACACAACATATTCTTGTGGGATTATGTATTAAATAATGTTCTTATAGAAGTGGTATGGGTTGCATGCGTGTTTGTGAGGAAAGAGAAGATAGGGAGCAGAGAAGAGAAGAGAAAAAGCACTGAGATATGGAGAGATTTTTAAAGTTATGGTTAAAAAGCATTTGTGTTAGTACAGTAAGTAAAAATAATGGCCTGTAATTCTGCCCTTCCCTGCCAGTGTTTTTAAATTGTTCTGGCTTGGATTTCTTTTAGTGACTTTTATTTATCTGTCACTTCTTTCGTCTGCCTCTCAAATTACTCCCCTCATTCTGTTAAACTCTGCTTAAAGTTCCTCTAATAAAACATGCTCACTGCAGTTGTTATTCCACTGTTGACACCTACTTAACCCCTCTCTTGCCTAGAAATCCTTTGCTTTTGTTTAATTTCACAACATTTAAATGGTATTAAACTAGAAGTCAATCAGATTGTAAGACTAAAGTTACTGACTGTGACTGGATATTTTTCTCATGCGTTTACTTTCCCCTTCCTGTAGTAGTAGTATTTTTATGTGTTATTAAGGAGCTTATTTATGGAGTGACTTCTTTCCCAGTATTTTGTTACAGAGAAACATTGCTTACAGTATTTCAAGTCACAGGAAAGCGTGGTTAATGAAGGGGTTGTTGGGGGTGGCTCACTCACTTTAATTGCTTGCTGCACTTTGAATGAAATGACACCTGTGATTAAACTGTGTTAGTATCACATGGCTGTGGAGCTGAGAGGGAAGACTACTTTAGAAGTAAATCTTTAGAACAATGGGTAACTTAAGACTGCTAAGTCTCTCTTTCGCTCTTTCAACTGTTTTAGGTTATATCTATATTTAGAGACATTTTTGGCCAGGAAGCTAACGTGTATACAGGAACCAGAGAGTTTCACATCACTCCGTATAATGTTCAGGTAAGCTGTTGACAAGAGGTGTTGTGAGTGGAGAGAGAAGGAAGCAACTTGCACAGCTGAGCTCCCATTTGCCTCTGAGTACTCACCCATGTGTCTCTCATCCCTTCAGGTTGGTTATTCAGTTCTTTCTCGTGGCAACTATATTCCTCGTCCTGGCAGAAGTCTCTCACTTCTGCATCATTCACTGCAGTCCCTCGAGTCTATAATGAAATGTGTGCACATGAGCTGGATGGTAATCCTGGTGGGCCCGGCAGCTGTCGGCAAAACCAGCCTTGTTGAGCTGCTGGCCCATCTGACTGGCCATCGACTAAAAATCATGGCAATGAACAGTGCAATGGATACAACTGAACTCCTGGGTGGATTTGAACAGGTAAATACTGTTTTGATAAGATGGCAGTATTTTTCCTTCCTACTTAACAGTGGCCAGTCTACTGTGATCTCAGTGTTTAAGCACCAAATGGAGCCTTAGGCACCACAGTCTTCTGGATGAACTAACTCCATAATGGCATGTTTGCAGGTTGATATCAATAGGCCATGGCAGCGCCTGCTGGAAAAAGTGGAGAATGCTGTGAGCACACTAGTAAGGGACAGTCTTCTCCTGACAGAAATTTGTGCAGATGATGCTGAACTTGTGCTGCGTGCTTGGAGCAATTTCATCCTGAACTACAAACCCAAATCTCTGGGTGAAGGAGGTAGAAGTGTTACAGCTGAATTAGTGAGCAAACTGGAGGGAATACTTGTACTGACCCAACGACTAAACAACAAAATAAATTCTTACTCAAAGGCAGGTATGTATGGTGGGCAATTTGTAGTAAGACTGTATGTTCCTCTGAAGAAAATAGGAGAAATATATAAATCTGCAGTGAAAGCTTGAGAAAACTTGGGGGTGTTTTGTAGGTTTTCTTGTTGTCAATACTGTTGCTTCATACTACTTATGTAACAGCCTAGCTTCTGAAAAAGTTACATTGGTGATGGTTCTTCAGGTTTATTTTTTGTGTAGTTACACCTGGTAGTGATCAGTAGTCCACACTCAAATGCTCCTGTACTGAGCTACTCAACATATGATGCAATACAGTTCTTATCTTGTATTCCTAAGAAAGGGAATGTGGATATTCTATTCTTGTATTTGTTCTCTGAAGCATTAATCAGCTGAGCTTTACAAATGTCAGCTGAATAATGTATGGGTTGGGTTTTTTTCTTATTTTTTTAAAAATCATTGTCTAAAATATGGCTTTAATATCCATCAGACTTCATCTAATGGGGGAGAAAGGATGGAGAAAAGTGTCTGTTTAGGGAGAAAAGTGTCAGTCTAGTTTATATTTCTCTGTGCTTGCAAACCCCCTGTGTTCTCATGGATTTTGCCTGTGGGAGGCTACTTGAAGAGTTGGAGCCTCTGCTGTTATGTTCCTCTAGAAAGTAGGAAGCATATATGTTTATTAACAAAATAATTACTATTTTTCTTGAATGGAACAGGAAGTAATGTAAGTCCTGATGCAAGATATACTTCCTTTCAGAGTTTGCTCACCTGGTAGAGGAGTTCCGGCATTTCAAGCTGCAGCAGGTCCAGGCGGCTGACTGCAACAGCCATGGCACTTTCGAGTGGGTGGATGGGATGTTGGTTCAGGCCTTGCAGTCTGGAGACTGGCTGTTGATGGACAATGTTAACTTCTGCAAGTAAGATATTTTAGTGGCCTTGTTTCACTGAGTAGATCCCCTAACCTCCCTAATTGACTTTCTCTCTTACTGTATAGTTCACAGCTGAACATTCTGCATTTGATAACAATACATGGGAGCAGTAACTTACATTTTCTGGAAGAGTGTCTTCCTTCTTAGACAGCTTAACAGTTGATACTTTTCCTGTTACCTTATAACGTAATTAGCTGTTTGGCTTTTTGCTTGGTACCATTTTGATTTCAGATCAGAAAGGGATGAGATTGTTACCTTTTTATAACCATATAAATTTCTTTTGAATATAGCCCTTCTGTGCTGGACCGCTTGAATGCTTTACTTGAACCAGGAGGTGTTCTTACCATGAGCGAGAGAGGTGTGATAGATGGCACAATTCCTACAATAGCTCCTCATCCAAACTTCAGGTGCTTTGCTTTTCTGCTTTTTTTTTTGGCTTCCCCCCTGCCCCGACCAAATAGCAGGTTTAGAAAAAAAAAAATGTCAGCAGTGAGCCAGTCTTTTGGTATTTTGAATTCTGTTCAGTTTGCCATGTACTGTAGTGACACTGTGTGGAAAGGAAGAAAACTGCGCTGCGATGAGCATGTGGTAGAGAGCTTAAGAGGCTTGGCTTTATATCCCTGTTGCAGCACAGACTGTTACGCTGGAAAATTCATAGCAGCATACTTCTGCTTTGATTCCCCATTTCTAGTTTAGGATTTCAGCACTTCCCTGTCTCACTGCAATGCAGCTGAGGATACATGTGTTGAAGATGGTGAAGTATTCAGGTATATTGGTAATGAAAGCTGGTATAGGGACATAATTTTCTTCCCAGCTTTTTCCATCCCATCCATAAATCTGAGTTTCTTGCAGTGACAGAACTTAACATCCCCACCCCCCCCACCCCACCCCCCGCAAAAAAACCCCAAACACACACCAAAAAAACAAAACCCAAACAAACCCAAACCAAACAAAAAAACCCCACCAAACAGACAGCCTGTATTCTCTCAGACCTGAAGTAGTCTCTGGGGAAGATGGAAGGAGAACATACAAAGTATTCTGTATAATTCCTACCCTTTATAAATTTATGAAAAGAATATTGGGACTGATATGCTCTGGTTCCTCTGAATTGGAAACAAGATCCTTGACTTTCCAGAAACCTGTTTTGGCTGAATTGTATCTCAAGTTCTTTTTTCTCCTTGCTTTTAAGAGATGTTTACTGATAGTATTAACTACTCGGGTGTTGGATACTTTGGTTTTCAAATAGCACAAATTTATCTGAAGCCATTGCTAAGACTTTTAAAATTCTTCTTTATAGCTCAGAGGCATAGTTTAACTTTTTTTGGTAAGGAGGCAAATGATAAAATAGACACAGCTCAGATATAACAGAGTTAAAAATCATGCAATATATCTGTGGCTAATTTCAAAGTATAATTATTCATACAGGTTTCTCATTTAAATTCAGTAGATGTCTCTGGCTTTCTAGATATCAGTGTCCCCATTTTTATGAAGACGAATTTACTTTATGGAAGAGCACATGTGGTGGTTCTGGAGTGCTAGTCTAAAGCCCTAAAGTTACATCTTAAGAATGTAAGGCAGTTAGACTAGATCATTGTAGGTGCCTTCTAACTGAACCCTTTTATTCTAATATCCATCAGACTTTTCCTTTCCATGGATCCTGTTCATGGGGAAATATCCAGAGCCATGCGGAATCGTGGGATTGAAATTTACATTCCCGGGGAGAACGATGGAAATGTATTGGACAATTTGGATTTGAAGTTACTCCTGCATGGTTTGGGTTTAGTGGGAGATAGCATCTGTGATGCACTTATGGCTGTGCATTCAGAAACCAAGGTGGCAATAGCAGGTAAGAAAAGTCTGTTCAGTGTTAACAACTTGGGCTCACTGCATATATTTGGATTAACTCTTTAATATTAAAGCTTGGTTATTTTATTGTTATGTCCCAATACAAGTAAAAGCATAAAAGTATAATCACGTTGTTTTGGGGGTTTATTTGTGTTCTCAGGAAGCAGGCCCAAATCATAAAAAGATGGGAAGTGGGTGTGCTTTGTAAGGAGACATCAGGTGCTGCCAAGTATCAGTTGCCTATTGCTATAGGGAAGGTAATAAATTCTAAGTGAAAATCAGCAAAACTGAGGGTTGGCACAAGGCCTGTTCAAGTTGGTCTTTGGAGCAAGATGACACTGAGTTTCACTCAGCTGCTTCATGTCTTATTTTGAGTTTGTCACCTGTTATTTACAGTCTTGTCAAATTTTCTTATTAACCTTGGTAAGAACCCATTCAATTTTCAGGATCCAGTAGGATTCATTTGGTTTGGATCTTCCTCAGGGCCTAATGTGTTGTTTGTCCTCAGAGGATTAAAGGGGTGACAATTAATAAACATTCATATCGCCCTAAATGCTGTGTATCTTTCAGGTTCTGTGTTATCTTTGTCACCTTTGCTTCAGGCTGCTGCTTTAATTGTGCAGCAGATACAGAGAGGCTTTGGATTAGTGAAGTCGTTTTACAGAGCCTGTTGGGAAGTTTATGGCCGCTCACAACAACTGCAGATTAACCAAAAGGTAAAAGTCCTGTGTTTGAAAGCTTTTCTTACATCATCTAAATACATGAAAAATACCATTTCATGAGGCTAGTGTTTGGGATCCTCTGTTTCCTAAGTGCTTGAGCAGGGGGCTGATGAAGATGGTGCTCTTGGAGAGATGAACCAAACCATTTTAAACACCCTCTCAGGCATCTGTCAGGTAATGAAGAGGGGGGATTAAGTGGCATTGGGACATTTTCTGTGTCTTTTAGATTCTGAGCCTTTTTTGGTTCCAGTGTAAGAAGTACAGTTCTGCATGTAACTTACTCTAACAGATCAGTTGAAGCTCCAGAAGTTGGGGGGTTTTTTTTGGTGTTGAGTGGTGAAGTACAGTGAATTTCAGCTGTCACCTGTCCTTTCATGACATATTTTCTCAGCCTGGTAACATGCTACTGGAGACAGAGGTCAGATGAGTAAGAGTTGCATAAGGACTGTCAATTTGGGATGTGCTTAACTAAGATATTCCCTGGGGGATAAATATGGTTTGTTGGACATTTTGTAGATAGTGGCTCGCTTTTGCAACATAAGGGAGACAGAGAATATTCTAGTTGGACTCTGAGGCTTACTTGTTTTTAAGAGCTTCAGCTGAGACTTTGGGATATTAATACTGATTAATCTATAGCCTGAAACAATGTGCACACTGTCATCTTGAGTAGCAATATTCATTTCCTATTTTAAGCTGTACAGTATGTTATTTCACTTACAGTTGGAATGTTTTGGTACTTTTATCATGTAGGCTATATAGTGTTTGTAGAACATTTGGTTTATAATGATTTCATAAGAAATCCATGTAATTAAAGAGTTCCCTGAGCTATTGTACTTGGATACATGTTTGAATATGATTCTAAACTGCTTTTTGGTTGTTTGTTGTAGCTTGTGTTAGAATTGGTTACGAAGCATGCTTCATCTCTGGCTTCCCATGAAATTTGGGGTGACTCCCTGCTAGCAGTGGGATTGTGGCCAGACTCCCTACCTACAGGTCTGTTTGCAGCAGAAGATTCGCTTCTTTCAACAGTCCGGAGTGATGCACAGGTCCTCATGTATTGTCTGAATAGACTAAACCTTAAAAACTGCAGGTAGGCAAGAAACACTTTTTGTCTAATAAATGAGTAAGAAACCAGATACGTGTGAAATACTGGTGGCATGTCAGTGTGGCCTGCAAAACTTTGTCTTGAGCAAATTGTGTGGGTAGAGACTGTGGCAGTCACACTCCGTAACTGAGGCACCTGTAGTGGTTGCATGGAAAGGTAACAAAGACCAGTTTGATTATTTACTGTTTTATTCTTCAGTCCAAAATACTTGGCATTAGGAGTTAGGAGTAGGCATTTAGCAGAAAATGTGAATGCAAACACTGGGTTTACAAGGTAATAAGAGCCCCGAAAATCTCTCTCTGTTTCCTTCTGCGCTTTAAAAAAATGAGTATTTAATTAGTTTTAAATATACTAATGATCCTCTGTACTTCCTGCTTTCATGTAAACAATTATTCATCAGCTCTTTTAGGTCCAGTAGCTTCAGGTGAAAAAACAAATTGCCTCCTTCAAACAGAGCTGTCTGAAAGAAGTCTCATGTGCAGGGGCCATATGCAAGAACTCTTTTAATGATTTCTTGTGCAATATAACTGTTATTTTCACAACACTGGTGCAAAATCTGTACGTCACAGCCTGCTTTGCTCAGTGACGTACTGTGGACAGGTACTGTGGTTTGCTTCCAAAGAAAGAGCAAGCTGTAGAAGTTAGTACTAAGATATAATGTTGAAATTGTAAAATCTTAGCAATGTGCTGGTTTTGGTTTTGTTTTTTTTTTTTTAATCAAGGACACTTCTCTCCATCTTTGTCTTTTTTAACTTACCTTCACATATCATTCTGGTGCACAAATCAACTATAATTTCTCAACGAAATGCTGTGCATATTCACTTCTGGCACTGCATGAATTTTTGGTAATAGTGAGTTTCTAATAGTAGACACCCCCAACTGATCTGAAGTTGGAAAATGGCTTTAGAGCTAAATAAAAGAGGAGAGATTATTGCATTGCTGCCTTCTTGCCTGAAGATGGCTGCATGCTGAGTAGCTTGATTTGCAGAATACATTCTTTCCTGGAACTGGCAGTTCAAGCACTTGATTACTGGACTGTGCTTCTTTTTGTTTCAGGACACTACCACTGACTCTGCAAGATCTTCAAAAAATTATGCAGTCCACTGATCCTGAGAGTCTCCAATTCAGTGCTGTTGAGATAGATGCAAACTGGATGGATAAAATGGAAGTTCTCCAGGCTTCAGTGAAATTGTTCATAGAAAAGGCAACCAATCAAGATTGGACATTGAGAGTTAAATGGCTTAACTCCTTAGCCAAAAATCTGCCACAGGTGCTTGGTATGTAATTATTTAACTTTCTCTTTTGCCTAAGGGCTGATTTATTATATTTTCACAAATTCTAAGTCTTCTAAGAAAACATTCAGACCATTCAAATGATCTGATATGAAAGTTCTTAACTATCCACATTTATTGGGTTTGTGTGGCCAAGTTTTGCTAGCAGGGGGTACAGGGGTGGCCTCTGTGAGAAGCTTCCCTTATGTCTGATAAGAGCCAATGCCAGCTGGCTCCAGGATGGACCCGCTGCTGGCCAAGGCTGAGTCCATCAGTGGTAGTGGTAGAGCCTCTGTGATAACACATTTACAAAGGGGAAAATGTTGCTGTGCAACAGAGAAAGGAGTGAGAATATGTGAGAGGAACAACTCTGCAGACACTAAGGTCAGTGAAGAAGGAGGGGGAGGAGGTGCTCCAGGCACCGCAGCAGAGATTCCCCTGCAGCCCCTGGTGCAGCCCATGGTGAGGCAGCTGTGCCCCTGCAGCCCAGGGAGGTCCATGGGGGAGCAGATATCCACCTGCAGCCCGGGGAGGACCCCAAGCCGGAGCAGGTGGATGTGCCCAAAGGAGGCTGTGACCCCATGGGAAGCCCACGCTGGAATAGGCTCCTTGCAGGACCTGTGGACCCATGGAGAGAGAGGAGCCCACGCTGGAGCAGGTTTGCTGGCAGGACTTGTGACCCCGTGGGGGACCCACGCTGGAGCAGTCTGCTCCTGAAGGGCTGCACCCCATGGAAGGGACCCACGCTGGAGCAGTTCATGAAGAACTGCAGCCTGTGGGAAGGACTCACGTTGGAGAAGTTCATGGAGGACTGTCTCCCATGGGAGGGTCCCCACACTGGAGCAGGGGAAGAGTGTGAGGAGTGTTTCCCCTGAGGAGAAAGGAGCATCAGAGACAATGTGTGATGAACTGACCACAACCCCCATTGCCTGTCCCCCTGTGCTGCTTGGGGGGGAGGAAGTAGAGAATTTGGGAGTAAAGTTAAGCCTGGGAAGAAGGGAGGGGTGGAGGTAAGGTGTTTTAAGATTTAGTTTTTATTTTCTCATTATCCTACTCTGATTTGATTTGTAATAAATTAAATTAATTTTCCCCAAGTGAGTCTGTTTTGCCTGTGACAGTAACCAGTGAATGATCTCTCCCTGTCCTTATCTGTGAGCCTTCTGATACATTTGCTCTCCCCTGCCCAGCTGAGAAGGGGAGTGATAAGCGGCTTTGGGCACCTGGCATCCAGCCAGGGTCAACCCACCACACCACACTAAATCAAGGGCATTGAGGCTTCAGGGAAAGACAGAAACAGGTTGTGTATACTAGGGACAAGAGGAGGCTTTGGGCTAAACATTGCCTTTTATTGTTCAAGCATGCATGTAACTTGTACTACTTCTGAATTACGGTTATTTTTGGATACATCTTGGCCTATGTAAGCAAATATATCTTTCTCGTCACTATTTTTTTTCTAATAGTGATAGTAAAAATGGTAAAATACCTTCTGTTTATTTGGTGTTAAAATGCAAATACTTAGAAAGCCAGCAAGATGCAGAACTGAGATTTCCTGAAGCTGTGTTGTCTGAACATTCAGGATAGCAGCTGAGATGAGGTATTCACTGCGTAATTACATTAATCACGTTAAACTTCTGGAGAATTTAGACAGGCATTAGTCCAAGTAATTCACACACTTAGCTTCCTTGTGTGGTGTGAAATGTCAGACTGTATTGTCCCTACATGAATGGGATTGCTCCCCCTTGATCTTACTGTCTTTCCAGGTAGATCTGTCTATTAACTAGAAAATATCTGGAAAGATACTTTAATGACAGGTATGGTCTTATGTGATTTCTTTTTTTTTTTTTTTCTTAATTGGAAAAAAAAATCAAAACCAGATGTACTGAGAGGAAGACTTGAAGGTATAAACTCACAGATTTTCACAAACCGTATTTTTAATAGCGTACATGAAGTATCATGAGTTTAATTAGAACTCTTTACTGGATTTATCTCTTTAGCCATGATACTCTGACTGCTTTTAAGACCTCTTGGAACTAATACAAAATAAGAGGAACCAGCATGTCCGGAGTGCATGCACAGATGAGATTCAGGCTGCTTGTGCTGGCTCAGTTGAAGTTAGTTTTATTTATTTGTACTAAATGCTCTTCTACACCTACGTTCTCCCCCCTTCACCTACAGATCCAGTGCGGATTCAGCTGGAAGCAGGTGCTGTAGCCCTTGGTAGTTTCTATGCGAGTCCTCTCTCATCTGGAGTCAGTAACATGATCAAGTTGCTGCAGCCAACTATGACAGGTACTTCTGAAAAAAACTGATGTAAGAGATGGGTGCTTCCTTTATTTGTTCTCTGAACACACTGCAACCCTTAAGAAATGTGTGTAACAAAACAAAGGCTTTTTGTTGCTTTTGTTGCAAAAGAAATAACAACAAAGCCATTCTTGCTGTCTAGAACTGCAAATATGGCAATTAAATGCATTCATCCTATGACTATGAATCCTGACTGGGTATCTGTGACCCAGGTGTATTCCTACAGCTCAGAGTTAAGCGATGCTCTTAAGAGTGATGCATATTTCTAATGCCTTTCTGACTATATAGTTTAGGCATCCTGTTTTTTCTCAGCATTTTTCTCAGCATGTTAGCCTATCTGAAACCTACATTGAAGCCTGTAATTTTCCCTCAGTGTTTTACAGGGAGCTCAGGTGTGTGGTTTCCTTTCCAAGCTTTTTAGGTGCATGAAAGCTACATATGGTGACACTGGACCCTTTATGGATGGTCCTAAGTATCTTGCCTGGACTGTGAAGGAAAAGGGAGTTGGACTTGAGTTTCCAGGCTGTCTTTTTGGGTACTCTGACCACTGGCTAATTTACTTTCATGGTTCGAGTTTTTACATTCTGTTTGAATATCTAGAGTGAGGGAGCTTAAGACTCTGCCTTCCTCTTAGGCTTCCTTCTTGCCTTCTCTAATGTGCTTGCATAGGCAGGAGGATTGAGGGAAGTCTTTCACTGAATAATGTTTCTGCTGCTGTCCTGTCTTGTCTTGTCTGCCTTCCCAGATGAACATGTAATGCCTCTGGACCCAAGATGGAATATGCAGTTTTTGGATATCATTAGAAATTCGATGAACTTTGATACAGAAATGGAACACACAGATCAGCTACTAATCCTCTTGAAGTCTGTAGCGAATCGGTAGGTTACAAAAAAAGCTTGTGAAGACTGCCCAATGACTGTAATCAGTGCTATGTCAACACTTTCAGTATCTGCCAAGTATGTCTTTAGGTTTCGATAGATGTGATCCTAAATACCTGTATGAAACCGCTGCCCAGTGTTTACATGCTTTGTTTCTGTTTTCTGAAGATGCAGACTAAACCAAATTGCTTCATATAGGGAGCAGAGCTCCCAGCGTCCCATATAGGCTGGAGTGATTCAAGGGCAAACCAGAACTGTGGGATAAAGCATAAAAGGGGCAGAAGCAGCAGTGTGGAATCTCTGACATAAAACTTAAGTAGTTGCCCTGCTTTTGGATTTGGACTGCTTTTCCTAATACGAGGCAAAAATACACAGATTTTGCAGTTACAGTATAAGGAAGCAGCTACTCACATATCCTACAAATGTGTAATGGTGGTGTTGCATCTGCTTAGTAGCTTACTACTTTTTCCTTCCTGCTAATTGCAGGAATCTGCTTTTTTTGCAGCTTGTTTCTGCAGAAACCATATTCAACCAATTAGTTATGCTGCACTTGATTCTTCTTTCATAATAGAGTGAAATATCAAATGTAACTTTCTGTAGTTCACCGTTCTCATAAGGCAGAGGCTTTAAAATGATACTGAGTTTCTAGCAACTTTACTTTTAATTCAGGGCAGTATTATTTCTTGAACGAGAAAAAAGAAGCTACACTGAGAAGAATTTGATTACCAGCAAGAAGCCAAGAAATAGTGTCTTAAGAATGTCTCTAGATTTCCGCAAAGGTGGGTTGATTTTCGCTGTTACTTTTGGTTCTATGGTCAATTTGAAATATGGTTAATTTGTGCCGTTATGAAATGTGTACTTTAAACATGTTATGTCCTGAATGTGCGAAGGAAGATCATGTGAATGTAAAGCAGTCACATGAGGACTAATACGATATGTAACTCATTATTCTTAAATTAAATATACCTTATGCTACAGCATTTATGTCCAGCCTCTACTAGGTTATGAGTGCCTGTCATTTCTCTGAATTATCTAAACTTTAGGAAGATGGTGGAGAGAAATTGGAATTGCATTTTGTCTTTGGCTAGCAAGCCATCTTCAGATGTGCTTTTGTTCTAATCCTCTTTCTATTGTTTTATGTAATGAGGATGTTTACTTCCAAAACAAAGGGCAAAAATTTAGTGATGAAGTTAGTATGTTGCATAGAAGCAATTGATCAATGTTTCCTTCATTCTGGATTTTTTTTTTTTTTATATTATACGTGTAGAGGTAATAGAGAATTGTGCAAAAAGTGAAGGAATACTTCTTGTTACTTTGATTCTTAGATCTTTTCAGGGTATTTTTCCTCCTAGCCACAGAGAGGATCTAGTGATCAGAAAGCAACCCATACTTGTCATGTGATGTGTCTGGAATATTCAGTCTGTCCCTTTCTTTTCCTCTTCCCCAAACCTCAGATCCAGGAAGTTACAGCTGCCTTCCTCATGCAATTGTGGTCAACCTTGCTGCTTTCTTTGAACTTTGGGATGCATTTGCATTTCACTGGGTGAAGTCTACTCAGGTGGCCTTAAGTGATGATGACATGCATGATGTGAGTAGACTTTTCATAGCACTCTTAATGGGAGTTATGTGAAATTGGACAGTGTGCAGAACATTATTTTTAGTTTCAGAGACCATGAAATAAACTGCAGTTTATTGGTATTCAGAATATGCCTGACATGAGGCAAATGATGATGTTTGTTGCAGTGGCTGTCTTTCAGTGTGCTCCATCTTCTCATTTCTTCTGTGTGGAATGTAGGTTTTCAGCCTGCAGATACTCAGGGTGGGAATTGTCTTACCTAAATGTGCATGTCTGGGACCTAGATATCCATTGTGCCATAGAAGTGCCTGTCTTTCTCCACTAATGATAAAGGAAGTATCCACATCCATCTCAGATAAAGTTACCTGAACCTGGATAGCTGACATGCAGGTCACAGGGGTGGTTCACTTCTCCCTCTCCCTTTTCAGACCGTGAAGATCATTTTGCTGAAATCTGACAATGACATTGTAGACTTGTGCAGGGATTGCTTGGTTTTGACTTGTGTGGTTCTACCTGCCAGCAGAGTCCTGCGCTATTTTTAGAGAACATATAGTTGAGTGCTAGTTGTGTGCCACTAAGTATTAAAGCATTGCTTGATTCTGAAATTAATGGAAGTGACAATGTTTTTGCATTTTCTCTTGGTTGAAGTAAAAAGTGTTCTGTAACATGCAAGGCTCAGCAGCGCGAAAACTGTAACCTTTTTGGCTTGTTGTTAGATTTTATACTGCTTGCTGTGGCGTGACCGGTTCTGGGCGGTCTCTGACACTCTGACAGTGGATTCACCAGGGTTGTCACTTCTGTCTCTGCACTGGCACTGGGTTATGAAGCATCTAATTGACAGAATTCCTCAGATGCTTATTGGATCAGATCAGCATAAGTGAGTCGCTTTGATTTTGTGTTTCTGTTAAATGGTTGTATAAATTACCCTTTTTGTTAATATTATAGCTAATTCACATTGTTTGCTGGTAGTGTCCAAGCTGTGTTCCATTAGCGATGCAAGTGCAATGTATTAAATAGCTGTTCACTTTTAAAATTCAGATTTTTTACTATTGGACTGCTTCTTGCCCAAACGATCATCTAGAATTTTTACCCATTTCCTGTACTTTAAAGTTAGGTTGCCCCTTTAGTGAAAGGTTAAGAGAAGGGACTTTCCTTTCTCTTGTGTCCTTTTGCCTTTTTCCTCAAATTCTGGGTTAACTGTGTGGGATTTTTTTTTTTTTTCCCCATCTCCAAGGGTTTCCAAGGAAATTCAATCTGTTTCACAGCACATTCAGAGCTGCTTGGCCAATCCTGCTGGTGTTTCTGCCAGTATGAAGATATTACAGAAGTCTCTAGGAAGACCTCTTCCTTTTAAGGTATTGGTTCTCTGTTTGCAAAAGATTTGTGTTTCCAGTGATGTCCAAATATGCTTTAAAATAATCGTGCAGCACTTGCTTTCCAGGCCAGAAAAAATACATTCCTTTTGGACTTGTTAAATTGATTAAAAAGACAGTTTCACCATATGTTAACGTATGGCTTTTTTTGTGAAATATATCAGTTATTCAGAGAGCATTTCTACTATTAATTATGCTTTGTATAGATAGCAGTTAGTTAATACAGGGTGATGTGCAAACATAAAAATGTTCCTATTTACTCTGTTTTGGAGACTTGTGAGTATCAATATGCCACTTGCTTATTTAGTGAACATATGTGTGTATAGAATAGACCATGTACTTCCTTCTATACAGCATAGGATGGGGCTGCCTTGTGACTTACCAAGACATAGCCTTTTAACTCTGACAGGTTTTTTTTTCTTAAGTTATTGGTGTCATTCAATAAAAAAAATCTTAAAATCTTCTAAAGAATATAAGTCCCTTTTAAAAGCAGGGCACAAATAGACATGTAGCTTGCTTATGTTGATTAGTAATTAGACCTAGGTTTTTATGGCCTTATGTCTCAAAGATACTCGGCTGTTCAAAAATGCGCATAGTTGCTGTGTGGAACTTTAAAGAACATTCAGTGGTTACTGAGAATTTCGGGAGATTTTTCTAGGCAAAGGTATTTAAATGGCAGGTGTAAAATGCCAGTTTCTTTTAAGTGACAGTAGCTTCTGGCATTTTTTATTAGTTTGTGTATTTATTACCCTTAGTTTAGGTAAGTTGCCATGTTGAGATACTGTTTGTCTGCATAATCTATGTAGTTTCTTCATGAAGGAAAAAAAAACCTTGACAAGGAGGAATTGAGGCCAACTATTTGAATTTCTGTCTTCCTGCTGTATTGAGTAGGGCTACAAAAGAATTGTTGCTAAGTTGTTGCAGGTTGGTTTATATATACTTGCACTTCAGTCATGTGCATGTGAATTTGAAATCTTAGTTCTGACTGCAGTTACAGATCTTGGTGGTTGTTTTGTTAGCACTGCTGAAACAAATTGCCACTTGTTCAGATGTCCTTTTTGTGTTTCCAGGATAAACTGGGCATGGAATGTTTTTCGCAGTTAAAAATTCTCAGCAAACCACTTAACATCTTGGAGCTAAGATTGGCCTTTGGAGAAAGTAGATTGCAGGAAAAAATGTGCTGTCTGAAAATTGCTGCCACTGGATGGAAGATGAAGAAAGCATTGCTGCAAGCTGATGGCCTGATAATTAGAGCCAATAATTTAGAAGATGTTAGTCTGGGTAGGTAGCACTTTTGAAGAGCTGAACAGGATGATTTCTGCCATCTCCATTCTTTTTGTATACAAATAGGAAGGATGTGAAATGTTCACTGGAAAGAAATATCATACATAAGTTTATGTGCCTCTTACGCTCTGTCAAACAGGTCAACTAAAGATTTTTTTGAAAGCTGTACATTCACAACTGAGAGCAGAAGGAGTTATATGTAGTCATTCAGAAGAAAGGTTTACTGAAGATACCATCTCCAACCAGTTAGACCCTGCCTTGTTAAACCAGCTCTGCAGTCGGGTTCAGCTGTGGCCTGCAATGGAATACATAGGCATACTCTGGCAGTACAAACTGACAGCAGATTATGTGGCCAAGGCTTGTGCAAGAAGGTAAGAAGAAGGTTGGAGAAAGAAATCCTATATTCCTTTAATGAGATTCAGAATCCTTAGCTAGAAGCTGTAACTGCAGTACTTTACATTTGTATGTAAATCTATGGGTGTGTGCATATATATATATATGTATGGGTGTGTGTATTTGCATATATATCTAGTGGTATACACATGCTTTTATAGATTTATCTATATAAATGCATATGCACTCCTTGTCTGCATGCAGAATTGCACTTGGGCAGCTATAAAAAGTATCAGCAAAGGGAGTGGTTTAGTGTCGTATTGAGGAAGTGGTTTTCTTCTTTTCTAACTTACTTTACTGATGGAAATACAGGAATGCTGATGTCCAAGCCCCTTGGAGTAAACCCATAAGACTCCAGAAGTTGCTTTATTAATGGTAGAATGATTTATAGGTGGAGGAAAAATAAAACCTTTTATGTAGTAAATGGTACATAGTATTTTCCTTTTGGAAATACGTAGTATTTGCCTTTTAATGAAGTAGAAGCATCCTTCATATTAGGAATTAACATGAAGATGTTTATCGCCATGTTGCTGGGGGCTACTGCAGAAATACTGAGTTAGACCTGGTGATGGAGCAAGTACACTAGCGTGCTTGCTTCCTGTTGTGTGAACTACACGCATATACTTGCAGTTTAAATGAACATTTTTAATTCAAGAAATGTTAGTGTTTGTCCTGGTTTCGGCTGGAATAGAGTTAATTTTCTTCC